TGTGTTGTGTGTGTGTGTGTGTGTGTGTGTGTGTGTGTATTTATGTATGTATGTATGTATGTGTATATTTGTGTATTTGTTTTATTCATATATATATATATATATATATATATATATATATATATATATATATATATATATTATTTAGTATATATCTGCATTTGTGCAATTTATAGTCTTTATTGCAATTGTTATCCTTTGTTTTAGGAAATAGGAAGTAGATGGGAATATTGGATATAGATTTTTTTTATTCTGGCTGGATGGAATGAAAGAGGAGAGAGAGAGAGAGAGAGAGAGAGAGAGAGAGAGAGAGACAGACAGACGACAGACAGACAGACAGACAGACAGACAGACAGACAGACAGACAGACAGACAGACAGACAGACAGACAGACAATCTGACAGACAGACAGACAGACAGATAGAGAGAAGAAAGAAAGTGAGATAGAAAGGCCGACATCGAGGTTATAAAACAGACACACAAACAGACAATGACAGGGAAAGTTTAAGACAAACAGACGGACGGAAACTACAGCCAACGAATCACAGACTGCGAAAGTGGAATAAGAGAAAGAAGAAAGAGAAGGAAATAGTCGCAGGACACAAAAATACAACCACTCCTCCACACGCGGTTTGTACCAATGTGGCACATGTGAGAGGGGACAGGGGGAGAGGGGAGGGGAGGGATAGAAGAGAAGGAGTGAGAGCAGAGGGACGGGTAGAGGGAGGGAGGGAAGGGAGGGGAGGGAGGGATAGAGGGGAGGAGGAGAAGGAGGGAGGGATGAGGAGAGGCAGGGAGGAGACGGGGAAGGAGCGGGGGGGAGGGAGGGAGGGGATTAGAAGGGAAGGAGTGAGAGGCAGAAGGACGGGTAGGATGGGGGGGGAGGGAGAGGGGAGAGGAGGGGAGGAAGGGAAGGAGTGAGAGGCAGAGGGACGGGTAGGATGGGGAGGGAGGGATAGAAGGGAAGGAGTGAGAGGCAGAGGACGGGTAGGATGGGGGGAGGGGAGAGGGAAGGGGGAGGGAAGGGAAGGAGTGAGAGGCAGAGGGACGGGTAGGATGGGGGGAGGGGGGAGGGGATAGAAGGGAAGGAGTGAGAGGCAGAGGGACGGTAGGATGGGGGGAGGGAGAGGGAAGGGGAGGGGGAAGGGAAGGGAAGGAGTGAGAGGCAGAGGGACGGGTAGGAATGGGGGAGGGGAAGGGAAGGTGAGGAGGGGATAGAAGGGAAGGAGTGAGAGGGAGGGGAGGGAGGGGATAGAAGGGAAGGAGTGAGAGGGGGAAGGAGGAGAAGGATAGAAGGGAAAGAGTGAGAGGCAGAGGACAGGTAGGATGGGGGAGGGAGGGGATAGAAGAAGGAAGTGAGAGCAGAGGGATGGTAGGATGGGGGGATGGGAGGGGGGAGGGAAGGGGAGGGAAGGGATGATAGGGAAGGGTGAGAGGGGAAGGAGGGGAGAGGAAGGGGGAGGGAAAGGGTGAAAGAGGAAGGTAGAGAAGGGGGGTTATGAAGCGAAGAAGCGAAGAAGAGGAGAAGAGAGTTAGGTATGGGGTGGAGAGGGAGGTGGAGTGGAGGGACGAGGAAGAGGGATAAGGGGAAGGGCGGAAAGGAGGAGAAGGAGGGGGGGGGGGGGCAGGGAGGGTAAAAAG